TTGTAGCCAGATGGCAGCACAAGAACTGGAACAGCAGACATAGAAAGATTTGAGCCACCTGTGTGTGGCTGAGAAATTAAATGTGTTACTGTGTGTGTGTGTGTGTGTGTGTGTGTGTGTGTGTGTGTGTGTGTGTGTGTGTGTGTTATTAGCAGGTTTAAGTGATCTAAATTTTGGAATTTGAACTCGTGCTGTGTGCGTGTACTGTATATGCAGTGTGTGTGTGTGTGTGTGTGTGTGTGTGTGTAGCATGGGTACTGCTTTCTTGATAATGGAGCTAGGGAAAGTTCTGTCCACACAACAAATAACTGCTCTGTATAAAATTTGCTTCTTTAAGCAATACATGACCAACACAATAATCAAAAATATCTGTTTTTATTCAAAAAGGGTGGTCTTCCTAACATATTACCCTGACTAAAACTTTTAGGAATTTGCAGATTTGTGATGAAAAATAAGAGGCTCCCATTGAAGGAAAGGAAATGATGGAGCTAGTTAAAGGAAATTAACATCACATGATATTATTATTATTTAATAATAATGATAATACTGACACTAACGCCAGAGTGCAGTGGAAAAATACATTTTCTTTCCAGTTACAGATGAGAGAATCGCTGTGTCATTTATATATACAGTCAGAGCCACCTCATTAGGTACCCTGTGTACCCCTTAATGCAACCTGCTGAAGCTCAAACTGAGCATCAGAAAGAAGAAAAAGGTGATTTAAGTGACTCTGAATTCAACATGGTTGTTGTGCCAGTCTGGTCTGAGTTTTTCACAAACTGCTGATATACTGGCATTTTAAAGATAAAATATCCAGTGAGTGGCAGCTCTCTGGGAGAAAATGCCTTAGTGATGTCAGAGGTCAGAGGAGAATTGCCACATTCCTTCAAGCTGATAGAAAAGCAACAGTAGATGAAATAACCTTTTGTTACAGCTAAAGTATGCAGAGGATAGTCTTAAAACGCACAGCACCTCAAACCTTGAAGCTGATGGGCTACAGCAGCAGAAGACCACACCAGGTGCAGCTCCTGTAAGCTAAGAAAAGGAAACTAAGGCTACAGTTCACACCAAAATTGACAATAATAAAACTGGAAAATGTTTTCCTGGTAATGAGCCCGATTTCTGCTGCAGCATTTGGATGGCAGGGTCAGAATGTGATGTAAACAGCATCTTTACATCACAATTCAGGTGGTGGTGGTGTAATGGTGTGTGCGGGGCCTTTTCTCGGACCCCTTAGTACCACCTCAGCATCATTTAAACGCCACAGCCAACCTGAATATTGCTGCTGACCATGTGGATGTTTTTTGTGACCTCAGTGTGCTCATCTTCAAAACTCAAATCATCTCAAACAGGTTTCTGGAATGTCACAATGAGTCTAAATGGCCTCCGCAAGTCCCAGATCAAAATCCAACAGAGTGACTTTTAGATGTAGTAAGACAGGAGATTTACATCGTGGATGTGCAGCCAAAAAAATCTGCAACAACTGTGTGATGCCATGAAATCCACATGGACCAAAATGTCTGTTTCGTGCACCTTGTTGAATCTATATTATGAAAAAGTAAGTCAGTTCTGAAGGCAAGGCAGGTGTACCTTGTGTAATGGCTGGTGAGTGTTATTGTTATCACGGATGTATAATGCTGATAAATTATTAAAAGTAACTAGAATTTCCAATCTCTCTCTCACTTGGCATTTGCCAGAGAAGACCAGAACTGGCAGGTCCACCAGAGGTGCTGTTCTCTTCACAGACATCTGGATATCCTTGGTGAATGCCAACTGAGCTGCATTGTGCTTGATTGTGAGCACAGATCCCATTAGAGAACATCAGCATCTCATGCAATGCTCATGGAGTCTGTTTGTAATAGTTAAGTCAGAAACATGCACATGAATTGCTCGCTAGAGGTCATTTAGTAGGGCTCTGGCAATGCCAGGCCTCCTGTTCTTATTCAAACCACAGCTGCGTTCAGTACTCCTCATTTCGCCCAGTCACTCTGGAGACTGTGCTGAGAGACACAGCAAACCTTCTCATAAAACCACGTATGAATACGTGCTGGAGCTGGACTACATGTGCAATCTCAATGAGCAGCAGACATCATCTGGTGCTAAAAGAATTGACAAGGACACCAGCAAGAAGCCGAAGTACAGAAAGGAGGTCAGGAAGGATAAAAAGAGACCACAACAGCGCACCTGTTGTCGCATTCAGCTGCACTAAAGCAGGTGAAATGCTTTCTGGCTGGTCAGATTTATGATGTTTAACTGATTTCATGTTATATTGTGATGATCAAGAGTTCCCTTTATTATTTTTGAGGAGTGTATTAGTGACCCCTTGAAAATAAAATGGCACAAATGATGCCTAATATGCAGTAACTCATAAGTAAAACCACTGAAATTTTTACGTTTGTATAATTGAGACCTCATGATGGGTCCCAACGAACGACTGGAAACCACTGATTGACCAAGTTAAATTATTTGAATAGTTGAGTTGCAGTAGAGTTGAGATATCCAGTGATTCACACAAAGCATGCAAAAATTATAAAAAACCCCTCTCTAGCGTGTGTCTTTTTTCAGTGTGGGGGTCTCTCTGGTTTTTCTCTTGTGTTTTTATGTGTCCCCCGTTTTTTTGTTCTGTTTTTGAGCGTGTCATGTTTACTCTGACCTGTGACTTCATTGGTAAAAAGCATGAATATACCAATAAAGCTCTGAACCAAACAGATAATCCTCTTCTTTTCTGTGGCAGAGTTTGTGGGGGTTACAGTCACTCAGCTGGGGGTGGCCTCAGCTATACTGACATGGTACTACTTGTACAAGTGTAGCACCACCAAAGCCCTTATAAGGTTAACTATTCCCTGTGGTGGGAGGTATAAAATTGAATGGCTGCTAGGAGGAGAAGGCTGCTGCTTGGTAGCTCTTACTGGAAAGCACTGTGTAGAAGCAGCAGATCCACTTTGTTCTATGTTCCTTCAGAGATACAATTCTGGGATTAGGTGGTTTCACATTAATAAAAAACCTGATTTTATTTGGTGCTATGTTGAGTCACTGATGCATTTTAATATGTGCACCCAGCACAGTGTCAACTACAGATGAGCTCTTTTGTCTTCCAGCTATCAAAGAACAGCAGGCTTCTTCTCTCCAAAATACATCTGACAAGCCATCACACACACACACACACACACACACACACAAAGAATAATAGAATAAGAATAATAACAATAAAATCTGCCTCAAAAAGTAAATGTTCGAGTAGTGATTTCAAATATTGGGTCAATAAAAGGAAACAGCCTGCTGGGTGATATGACTTTAGAAATTTCTCTACTGTTGGAGTCCCTCATGAGTCAGTTCATACTGCTGACAGTGTTCAGAACTGGCAACACGCAATGACATTGAGGAAAACATTGATGAATCCCGTCACCGATCTATAACCAATATCATGCTCTGTTTCAAAATGCCACTGCCAAAAAAAAAGCTAGTTAACAGCCTGTCAATAAGTGAGCCAGTGATCAATAACCTTGGCGAGGGGCTGTTTATGTCTACTTCAAGCTAAGCCCTCTCAGGACACTGTGGTATTGATCAGGCAGATTCGCGCACACTGCTTACCGTCCGTCGGTCCGCTCATGGTGCGAAGTTAATTCCCAGAAGCTTGAATGAGAGTCGCCCCGGGCTCTGGAGCAGATCAGTTAAACCTCGAGTGGCAGGGCAAAAGCTCCGAATATGACAACTCTCTCGTTCCCCGTCCGACTTAAAACTCTCCCTCCCTCACTCTGCCTCAGCCTTGAAAGGGCTTTCCCTGCTCCTCCCGGGCAGAGGATTACTGTCAGGCGGCGGATCGCTCTGCCTCTCCACCCTGCGTAAAGGCAGGAATTAAATGGAAACTGACGATTTACTACTTCTCCTCAAGCTTACAGCTTCTTCTGCCTCCTCCACCTCACAAACCTCAGTGGTCCTCGGTTCCGGTGCAGACGTGTCCATTGCAAACTGTTCTGTCACAGCAGCGCCTCTGAGGTCGCCTGTAAACCGGTGCGCTCCGGCGTCAGGGCTGAAATGCTGGATGCTGAGTTTCTGGGGGTGTTCGCAGACTCTGGAGATGCCGGAGCATCTTTGGCCGGGCAAGGCGGGGGCTTTTCTCGCGGTGAGAGAGCGCCGAACAGCGTCCGAATTCCAAAGTGCGTCAAAAATAAAAAGCCTAAATATCCGAAACCATAACTCCCCACATGATAGTCAATAGTCGTGCCTATATTTTTGTGATAATTTCTATCAGCTTTGCTTTGGTGTTTCTTCGCCTTTGCTCTGTAATATTCCACTCAACAAATGTGCATCTTTTTTTTTTTACACTTATTTTAAGTTTTTACCTCATTGTTAGCTCCACAGGGGGTGTAAAGAGTGGAAATTCTAGTCATACGTATTTAAATTAGATTAATTTTGTAGCGGATAGGCGATTCTGGCGAACAAATTATTTCTGAAGATCCGCGTACCAAGGATTAAAACGAATAAAATATGAACGATTAATACTTTATGACTTTGATTCAAACTATTAAGTGTAAATTCTCACACGTAGTGACGTAGCTGTCGTTACTGGTTTACAGTCGCTTACGTCGGGTATATGAGCTAAATTTGGACACCCGAGTTTGTGAGTGCCATTACCTGAGAACGAGGCAACGTAGGATTTTGAAATGTACACCATACGTGCATTTACTAAAAATCCCAGAGGAGAAGAATCTCGACCTCAAGGTCAAGGTCAGAGGTCAACCTTTCTGAAAATCACCTAGGATTTTCACATTTATATCACAGATGCAACTGTCTACTAGTTCATGCACCTATTTGATAAGTACAGCTATGAGGAGGCTGGGAGTGGCACTGGGCTGCCTATATTTTTCTTACTTGTGTTCAAGTACAGTTCTGAGCCTCGTTCTACAAGATATTTCTTCCTGTGTTAAAAGGGAGCTTTTCCTTCCTACTGTCACCAAGTGCTTACTCATAAGTGGGCTGTATGATTGTTGGGAGATTTTGTTTTTTATAATATTGTAGTGTCTTTACCTTGCAGTATAAAGTGCCTTGAGGCAACTGTTGTTGTAAATTGACGCAATATTAATAAAACAGAATTAAATTGAATTGAATTATTCCATGAATAGATAATTCTATTAATGTATAGCTAAATAAATAGCTAAAAAATTGACAGGACAGACCAAAGAAAATATTATCTGTAGATATAGAGAAACACCAAGAGGTGGCAGTGTATTTCTAGAAAAAAAAAAGCACTGCACTATCAGTAAAGTCTATAAGTTTGGATAATATTAAAGTAAGATGTGACAAAAAGAGAGAAGAAAAAGTGAACATAGCTGGAATGTATTTATTATTGTCCATAGAAGAAGAACTGGGAATATTTTTGATGCCGCTGAACAAAATCACAGAAATATTTGGATTTATTTGGTATATTCTACTACTCTTTGAATTGCCAAACAGGTGTTCTATATATATATTTCTTTTGAAGACTTTGGCATGTGATTGTTCTCTCCTGCAGGCAGCAGTCCTCCAACCAAAACATGTTTATACAGTTAACTTTCAGTCTGTCCTGGCTCACTTCCCTGTAATTGAGAAACAATGCACAGGATATTTCCTGCAAATGCTGAAACTCATCTAACCTCTACTGCAAAGATGAAGTAAAAATAAAGTCGGGGAACGCCTAAGCTCAAAATCTAGCAATCCTCAGTATATTAAACCTGGCTGAGGTGTGTGTTTAGTTTTTGATCAGTTTTAAGACATTAGCAGCAGCAGAGGTTTGAATCCTCCTGGGAGATCGCTGCCATGTCTGCAGCGGCTGCACTCAGAATCAAAAGGTCAAAGCTTTGAGTGTCTGCTCATGCCTTCAATCGTGAGTCCGCCAAGGTCAAAAAAACAATATGTCATGCATGCAGTTTGTGTGTCTCCATCGACTCTCAGATGTGATTAATGACCCATTGTTAAGCCAGTCTGTCAGTTTAAAAGCAGTTGGGAAGAACTGAAGAACACAGTTAGGCAAGTGCACTGTGTGTGTTTGTCTAGTTCATTGATTTTCTACAGTTAGCTGATGTATTATGTTCCAAAAGAGGATGCATCTGTTGTTTGTAAAAGATGAAATTACACTGTTTTTGGTCAGAGCAGACACGTTGAGAGGAAGCTAAAACAGTAAGATCATCTGAACAACGGGTTTTATGTACATGCATAGGAATATTGTATATCAAGAAGGAAGAAACAGGATACTGACCTTTATATGTGTAAATATAGATTGTTACATACATGTTAGTACTGTTGTTAGCACTGTTGTCAGCAAGTCCGGACTTCGACTCCACCTCTGGTCAGAGGCCTTTCTGAGTTTGTTTAGTTCTCTGCGTGTGCTCCCACAGCCATGCCTCCCAATACCTCGCACAGACATACAATTATTGGGGGTATGTGATTCAAAGTTGCCCATATATGTGAATGTGAGTTTGTCTCTATGTCTTTTCCTGCATCAGGCTGCAGACCTGTCCAGGGTGTAGCCCACCTTTCTCCTTGTGGTACCTCGGACAGGCTGTGGTCAGATAAATTGAAATTTCACTATATCCTCTGGACTAAAGCAGAAATGGACAAGTGCTGTTATCAGCGCTCAGTTGAAAAATTGCATCTCTCAAGGTATGGGGTGCATTAGTGCCTATGAAATTGACAATTTGTGCATCTGGAAAGGCACCATTGGTTTTAGTACAACATATGCTCCCATCTACCAGCAGAAGGATCACAGGCTTACCTCTTTTTCAGTGAAGCTTTCTGTATTTCAGCATGACAATGCTAGACAGTATACTGCATATACAGCAGCAGGGCTTCATAGTAGAAGAGTAGAAGGTGTTAGGACGTCATGGAATTAAAAATAAAACAAAGAAAATCCAGAACTGTTGAGCAACTGCAACTTATATCAGACAAGAATGGGAAATTTCTCTCCCACAAGTCCAGCAGCTGGTCTCTTCAGTTCCCAGATGTTTACAGACTGTTTTTAAAAGAAGAGGGGACGCTACACAGTGGTAAACAAGGGCAATGTCCTTGTGGTACCTCGGACAGGCTGTGGTCACCTAACGTGTCAGTGCCATCAAACCATGTGCTTATTTTTTGGTGCATTTTCTTATCTTAAACATTTGATATGTTTTCTATTTTCTACTCTGAATAAATGTGGGTCTATGAGATTGGGATTCTGTTGCATTGTTTTCATTTACATTTGACACTTTTTTGGAAATGGTTTTTCAGATTCACATCTCTGAGTGATATCATTCGTGTTGTTTCTGCGCCACATTTTGTGTTACACACAGTTAGACAACAGAAAATCAGCAGGATTGCCAGTGTCGTAAAGAGGGCGCTGCTGTTTTATTGCAAGCAGTTCCACCACTTCCCCTGCACAGTACAGAAGCTTACGGGATGGAGCAAATAAGAGACAGACAGAAATACAAAGATTGTGTTGTGCCTTAGCAACAAGTCACCACATCCTCCTGGACAGGAAGTAACTGGCTTTGAAGGAAATATGACATAACACCTACCTATAAACAGCTCTGCAGTAACAGTAACATTTACCCTTACTACTGTTTCATTTACTTGCACAGTTCTAAACATGATAATGCCAATACTATTAGTAAATAATAATGGTAACTTCATTAAATAATAATAGTAAAGAAACAAACTGCAAACACAATATTGATATTGTATTCATTGTAAAATTGCTTATGACCTCATCTGTCAGTTATAAATAATTTATGACAGTAAATTCTTTTTGCTCTGTTTTTGGTCTCTACCAACAGAAGGATCTGCTGAATGCTTTGCTGTGTTTAGATGTGACCTTGTGCTATTTCTGTTCAACGTATAGCATACAGTGGGTGTTTCGAGCGTTCTTGCTCAAAATAGCTTCCCGATGAGATCAGCGAGGATGAAATAAAACCTTTAACCCACTGACATAGACAAAATCAGCCAAATCACCCGTGTAATGGATAAGCGAACACACGGGTGGATGATGGTTGAGCAACAGGCCTCTTTGAAGTCAGAATTTCAGGTTTGCAGCCTTAACAAGGTTTTTCTTTTCACCTTCCATTTTGCTGTGTAATTTTTCTGTGCAATTGCTTCAAAACCTTTATTTACAGAAACACACACAGAAAAGTGAGACTATGCACTCTTTGCACTTTTTGGTTTTGCAACTACTTTAACCTTTAACCCATAAAGCTGTCTTCACAAAGACTGGGTATTCTGTGTGTCTATTTATAGCAGAAAGGAGACACAAGTCTGTACATAAAGTCACACTGTGGAGACTTTCTTCCCATCTGAAGACAAAAATTATGATCTTGACTTAAAGGAACAAAGCCTTGGTACATATGTGTTTACTTGTGAGTTCATCAGTCAGGAAATGAAACAAGTTGAAGGTGAGGCCAAGGCTATTGTGTGTTTCAGTATAATAAGTGATCCGCCTCTGCTTCCTTCATTAAAGGGTCGTAAGTGGACTCTGTGGGTCAGGATTCTTTTCTTTATTGAAGGATTTATTACATAAATCATAATCCAGAGATCAAGAGTTACAACATACGCCCTAAAAGCTTCAGATTTATAGATATACGGGATTAAAATATGCCTGAAAAATCAAAAGGTGATGCTAATTATATATCATGGAGACATCCCCTGCAGTTGTCTTTTGTCTTACCTCGGGGCTTTCAATGAGAGTGTCTTTTTCATGAGTTCCATCATAACTGCTTGTTTGTGTTATGCTAGTCTACAATGTGCAGATTAAAATGCAGTGAATAATTTGGTTCAGAAACAGCTGTATTTCTCACAGCTTCTTGAAAAGCTTGTGGTACTGAAATTTTCTCTGGTAGTGGAGTAGAACCATCGCCCTTGGCTGGCTGCCACTTTCTTTTCACACATTGTTCAAACGTGGATGCCGAGCCAGTTTTTCACAGCTTTGGTTTTTATCCTTAGTCGTTCTAGCAGCTGTGTTTGGACAGATAGGAATTCTCTCAGCCTTTGGTCTACGGAGGCATAGCAGCCAAG